TTATTTATTTTTAATGAAGTTTTAAAACTTATTTTAATTATTTACAAATGTTTAATTATGTATTTAAATTCTTTATATATATCTTATTTAATATTTCTTTTTTTAAAATTAATTTAGTAACACTTGATTTTAAATGCTTATTTTAATATTTTAATTATTTTTCTAACACTTAATTTACTTTTTTAATTTTAATGAATGTTTAAATACTATTTTTAATTCTTTTCTAATTTAGTTTTTTTTGCTAATTTACTTTTCAAATTTAATTGCTTATTTTTATTATTTTACAAATGTTTAAATATTTTTTTCAATTCTTTAGATATATTCATTATTTAATATTATATTATTTCTTTTAATTTTTTTACTATTACTTAATATAAAATAATTAATTAATTAGATTAGCAACTAATAAATATTTCGATAAATAATATAACATTTACATCTTATATTTACTAATAATTTTAAATACATAATAAACATTCAAATTAACCAATTCAAATAAATAATTACATATCACACAATAAGCCATTAATAATTATTTAATTAACTTCAATAATAACCGGAAAAAAAAAAAAATTAAAACGGCCCAGTCAACTGGGCCAGAAAAAAAAAATTAAAAAAAACGGCCCAGTCAACTGGGTCAACTGGGCCAGACCGGCCCAGTTGACCCAGTTGACCCCAGTTGGGCAGAGCGCCTAGTCAACTGGGCAACCCAGTTGACTGGGGAGACGCCCAGACGGCCCAGATAACTGGGCCGTCTGGGCGTCGGGGGCGACTGGGCGCGCCCAGACGGCGCCCAGTCGCCCTCTACTGCATTTTTGAGGTCCGATCGCCGGAAAACTCCATTTCCGGCGATCTCCACTCCTTCCCAAGTAATATGTTGCCAAAATTTCACATTTACACATGAATTTCTCAAAAAATATGTAGAAAGTCATACTTTTTTCCAAAAATAAAAATATAAACATGGTTTTTTTTGGTATAAATTTCTTACCTTCTTCAGAGGGATTTTGGCAAGTGGGTATCCTGTTTTTCCTTATTTGTCGGTGTCTGGGTCGACTGTGCTACAGTATTTTCCCTTCTCCTTCGGCTTTGCTTCGTTTTCAAGTGAGGGTAAAATTGGAAATCTCTTCTTTTTTTTTTGGTTTTCACGGTTTTTTATAATTTTGCCTTTTTTTTTTTCGTTGGTCAAAGGCCAGTTTGAAAAATTGGTCGGGTCAACCGGCCAACAGCCACTAATTCCTCGTTGGAGACAGCTAAGATCCGCCTTCAAAACAAAAATGGTTACAATTTCATCTGGAAACATACTGGTTTGCTAGTGAACTTTCCCATTTTTCCAGAAGTTATTGGAAAAAATGTGTTCGACTATTCGTTTTTTTTTACTATGAATTTTTTATTTAGAAGATAAATGTGAAAATAAATTAATAAGAAAAAACGAGCTTCAACTAGCGAATGAGCATTTGAGAGGTTTTTATTGTCATTGTGATATTATAAATACTAGTCACTATTACGTGTGTTGCACGGACATTATATTTATCGTATTTTTATTAGCTTATGAATTTTAGTTTTTTGAAAAGTTTTTGAAGTAATGT